GTCGTTGCTTTTCCGGAAATTCAAGGGCCAGTGTAGACAGCTCACAGCTTATTCCGGAAAAGCGGATGATTTTCTGGAATAAGTGGCTCAGTGTATACACAGCCCCTTTGTTTTGTAATCGCTAAATTTCAAGATGTTTATAAATCAATTGTAAAAAATTCAGTATCTATTTAATCAGCCTCCCTGAATTTAAGAGAATTGTAAAATAATTTTGCCAACAAGGTCTATTTAAAAGAAAATTAAATCAGTAAATTTCTCCCCTCTGTTTTAAAAGGATAAAGTTATTTTAATTTGTTTTCCTTTTAATTCTTTGGTTTGAAAATTAATACTTTTATCTCTATATTATATATTTAATTTTAAAAAAATCTGTATTGAATATATAATATTGAGTACCCTGTGAACTTCTAACCTGGGATATGTATTTTACTGCATAAACATATTTCACATAAAAACAACATTAAAGTAAGCAAAGAAAAGGAAAAGAGCAAGAACTGCATTATCCTCATTGAACATTTCTTTATAGTGTCAGAGGTGTGCATAGCACCATAGAGAGACACTAAGAAAATCAGTGATCTGAGCATTTTATAGGATCACTTAGTTCATTGAGACTTTGTGGGCATGGCAAGTTATAAAAGAATTGCCGAAGCGTAAACAAGAGACATCCGTTCCTGAGTATCTGTCAGAGGGAGGTAAGATCCTCTATGATAGTGCTACAAGTGTGTTTAAGGTATAAACCTCATTTTCATGTCACTGCTATCAACTCCTGACAGGCTGCTACAGTGTAATGTTACCTACGCTGTGTGGGTGCCTGCTGGTTACTCTGAGCAGATTTACAGGGGATTTCAACAGGCATTAGATACCTATATGCTTTTGAACACCCCACTAGGTGTCTAGCTCCATATTTAGGTGCCTAAATACCAGGTCTATGGTTCGGATCCTGTGAAAATATAGGCACATGCTTAACTTTACTACTTCGAGTAGTCCCACCGATTTCAGTCACTATGTCTGAGAGCAAGAATATGCACGATTAGGCCCATAATTATGCACGGCATGAGCTGGAAGGTGATAACATCCTGCAACAAGGGTAAAGGATCATTTAAGTAAAG